GTTGGGGCAAGTCATGCAACAGAGCCATGGGTGGCTGTGTGTGTGTGTGTGTGTGTGTGTGTGCGCACGCACCCCTCACTTCTAAGCCACATCCCCCCAACCCTGCTGCTGCCCCCTTCTCCAGACCCCCATACCCCGCATCCTGCCAGGGTGTGCAGGGACTCCCCTCCCCAGGCTCCAAACCCCCCACACACACCCACAGCCCCTCACACCTTCACAAATAATGCCCCCACTATACACATGCACACTTCAAAAATAGCATCTCATGATATACATTCAAAATCTCTTGATTTTTATGAGTTTGTCTCATGATTTTTGACACAGCGGGGTTGGCAATACTGAGTGCTCTTACAGGTTACCGTTAAACCCTTCTAAACCTGTGGAACGTTAGGTGGTCTTAAAGTCAGAACAGCTTCAGAGTAGTCTCAAATTAATGCCTAATGTCATCTCCAACCAGAGGAACTGTTACTTGACACTAGAGGGCCTAGAGAGCAGAGGTATGACCAGGAGCCAGGCCTCTACAAAAGCCCCAGGGGTTAACCAGAGACAACATGGACCCCAGAGAAGCATACCTCACCAGGCTCTATGCTGTACCATGTTTTGTGCTAGGCAGCCCTTTCTTCCCTCCCACCCCAGGAATGCAGGAGGCTGGAGAGGGAAGCCATGTCCCCCTTACCCTAATTCTCCTGGCTAGAGGACAGCTGTCCAGATGTGGGGAAAAGGCTTAGCCCTATCAGGGGACAACCTATGCCTTGCTCCTAGCCCGCAGGCCTGGATTGGGTCTCCTGGGGTCCTTGGATTTGGCAGTGTGGCGCCATGTAGGGGTGGGTGGGGGTGTTGGCTTGGGGCCATTACTACCCCTTGAGCAGTAGAACTAAGAAGGGTGGACAATTTGTTAGGGGTAAAGAGGCTCGGAGCCCTGCATCCTAGGATGCTGGATGACTGGAAATTGGTCGCTTTATCTCTGTGGAGTGGAACAATACCCTAGATCCAGTTAGGTAGAACAGCTCAAAGATAACCCTCACCCTTAGTTACTTAGATGGTACTTAGCACAGTTGAACACCCTTTAATGCATGCACACTCCTATTTAAGTGCCTTTAGAATGGTTTAGACTTTAGAGGTAACCTGCAACACCACCCTCATGCAGATAGTTTCTGCTGCTGCACCTCCATGTCACTGAGGACCACAGCTAGGAGTCCAGCAAAGGAATCTGAGCAGGGAATTAGTCCCAATGTTTGATTGTTTGTTTTTAGATCAAAATACACAGTGTATCCTTTGTAGACTAAAAATATCCATCTGGAGTTTGGACTACAGACTATAGGGGAATAGTTGTCTTGCGAATGTCATACGCTGCAGTTTGTGCTTTGCTTGTATGACTTACACACACATTTTGTGTTCACAGGGAATTTGGACATCAGTTCTGAAACTTATTCAAATACCTTTGAATAAGGGCCTTAAATCAAATATCATTCACTATATTTCTAGTATAAGTGCTGGTTTGAGTTTTTATTTTCTCCTTTTTAAAAAAAAAAAAGCAAAACAAAATCAAGATGGCTTTCCTGATACTTATTGCCAGTATATTACTAAAATACTGCAGCTGTTGCTTAGTGCCAACCTCACTTAATATGAATAGCTCTATAACTCAAACACAGATGTTTTGATGCCATAACTACTGTCCAGTACTGCTCCTTTTTGATCAGAAAGGCAGGGAGTTTGCTGATTTTGCAACTGATTTGGACCTGTTGGCAAGGAGACTTTGAAGCATTTTAGTAATTATTTATAAATATGCTAAACATCACAGCACAATTACTCTGCATTGCTATAGTGCCATTTCAGTAAGATTAATTCAGTTACTTTTGCTTAATCAAACATTATGCATATATTAGATCCATTTCTCATTTCATGGGTGTTTTACATTGATGCATCCCCACTGAGTTTGTGAAAATTAGATTTAGCTTATAGATAACAAAGCAAATGAAATTAAAATTAGGGTTGTCCATCTACCCCAAACGCATTAATTCATTGGCCTATTAGACAATTACTAGCACATTCAACTTCCTCTATAAAGGACAATACTTAAAACAACTAACCACACAATTCCTCTGATCTCATACCCAGGTTCATGATTATCTTGACACAGAATGGAAGAACAACAATTTTGCAATTCTTGAAGTTAGAGAATGAATTATACCAGTGGAGTTCCATACAGGTAATGAGTATGGATCCAATCCTATATGCCTTATCTAGGCATGGCTCCAATTAAAAAAAATAGCTTGAGTTTTTCCTGTACAGGTCTAAACCAAAACATGGTATTTGCTTTTCATCAATTGTTGGCGTAAATACTGAGGTGGAAGGTATGGTAAGAGGCTCAGTTTAAGAGCTGAATATGGTGCCAGTCCAGCAAAGAATCTAAGCACGAAGGGCAAGGTCTTTACTCTTCTCAGGATCCTTTATACTTTGTGAAGTGCCACAGTGGGATAGAGAGACCTTAAAACACCTCCAAAATGGTCCTGGGAGGATTTCCTTGTGGAAAGCCCAGTGGAAATATTGATACAAGCTGATTCCCAAAGGACCTCTTTTGAGCCCAAGGATTGAGGACATACAGCACAAACAGAGTAAAGTG